ACAGTAGGTAGTACAAATAAGATATAAACCATAACATACTGAGAGAGATTACTCTAACCCGGTATTTTTGTGTGTTTTAGGCAGTAGAAGAGCTGTTTAACCTCATGCAACTGTTTGTAGCTCAGAGACCAGACATGAGAGAGGAAGAGATAGAAGACATAAAGCAATTTAAGAAAACAACCATAAGCTGTTACTTGCGCTGCTTGGATGGACGGTCTTGTTGGACTACTTTAATAAGGTACGTTAGTAGTGAAGTTGTAGTGTAATAATCTAATCCCATTTGGATAAGAACTGTATTTTTCCAAATGTGAAGTACAATAAAAACTAGTGTTTTTATTTTGATACTCTTTTTGAAAAAGTTTTGGGGATACTTTCATTCAGAAGTAAACAAACAGAAATTTATAACCTTTTTTTTTCCCAAAAAAATCCATTGTTTGTGAAAATAATTTATTTTAGAATGTTTCATCAGCTGAAATTCAGAAAATAAGCAAGTATTTTACAGTAAACAGGTGTAAACCGAGATGTGTATTGTTAAGGTTCAAAAAGAAACAGTATGGCAAAATTGCATTAGTAGAGCCCTTGGGGGGGGAAAAAAAAACAAACTAAAACCAAATCAATCAATGTCCTAATTCAGCATTTAAGCTGAAATTCCATTCTCAGCCTACCATGATTAGTCTGGATGGGCAAAGCGGTAATTTCAGCTGCTGTTGTTGACATTTGTTATTTTTTGGCAGAATCTTTTTAGAAATTGTGCCTGTGGGACAGAGTTTTATTGTATCTTCTAATAGTTTTTCACTTCTAGTCTTAGTAGTTCTGGGTATTTTCAGTATAACTACAAATTGCCTGTGTATGTAGGTCAGGTATTGGGGTTTTAAATGCAACGGTTGATGCATTGAAACACTCTGGTGAAAAGGAAGAATGGCCTGTGTTACCTGCAGGGGTTACATACAGTCATCTGTCACAGGGCGCAACCAGATTTTTCTAAACGCTCTGGAAGAGTTGTTTGGTTGAGAGGAACCACTCATTAGCATACGCCTTTATTTTCTGTTCTACTGTAAGCATAAAATATTCTGATAGAAATGCTTTTATACATTTAAAAGTCCAAACATGTGCTTAATTGAACCTATTTCAACATATCATTCGACAAGCATAAACTTCTGCTTTTGAAATACATTGTTTTCCTCAGCTTTTAGCATTTTTGCAGACGTTATTTAGGAAATACTTCTGTAAAGATTGTTTATAAGTTACTTTGAAAAACAAAGTTGACATAAAGGAAGTTGACATCAGAGGTGTTTTAAATGAAAAAGGGCAGGGGAGAAATGAAGAGAAGAATTATGTTCTTTTGGGTTTCTCTGTTCTTCTTTGCTTATTTTCCAACATACAGCATGAGCATAAAAATTCTAAGCATTTGTGTGAATTATGAAAACATGATATGTAATTTTCAGTGTTTTCAATGTTTGGATTTTTTTCCTAGTGCCTTCAGAATATTATTAGAATCTGATGAAGACAGACTTCTTGTTGTGTTTAATAGAGGGTTGATTCTGATGACTGAGGTAAATACTTTGTTATTTCATTATAATAAACATCTTGCTTTCTCATCAAGTCATCCGCTCTGTCCTGACAATGTGTTTGCTTTAAAGTGTTTTAATATGGCATTGTATGAAACACATGAGATAATGTTCATTAAGCAGTGGCATACATGTAAAATGTTAAGGATCATAGGAAGGACAAAAAAAAGATTTACCCGGCACTTTGTATGTCTAAACACTAGTGTAGGAGGTTAAGTTAATACAGATCTTAATACAGGATCAAAATGCCAGGTTAGTTGATAACAGTGATTTGGTAGGATAACTATAGAAGGATGTAGCTTAAATAGGAAAGATGAGCAAGAAATAAAAGGGTGATGTGTCGTCTCGTATATCAAGGATAGATACAATTGCTCCGAGGTTCATAACAGAGAGTAAATTAGGTCTACTGAAAAAGTTGCGACTAGTAATTGATGTCATGAGTAGTAAGAAATCAGTCTTGGCTTTCTTCACATAGGTACTTCCCCTGTCGTCTTTAATAAGATTTCTTTAGTAGTAAAAAGAAGATCAGGAAAGTGTTTGCCTGCTTCTCAAGACAGAGGAAAAGCCACCAACAGATTATGTTGAGAGGAGTGAGTTTATGCTTTTTTGGTGTCATTCTTACTACAGATCAACTGTGAATGAATGGCTAAGCACAATCACACAATTGCTACTAGTTGAAAAGTGTTAAAGGAACAGGTTAAAATACAAAACTAACTTAAAGGATACTCAGATGCAACAGTGATTAACATTTCTGAACGCTTCTTTGAGGCACTTCTGAGGCAATTCTCCCTATCTTTCCTACCTGTTGTGCTTTGGTTTGCAAGAAGGAGCAGTCTAAGAACATGCAAACTAGATTTCTTTCCGATGAAACTAAACCTAAAATGCATTTCTGGGCCACATGTGGTGTATTCCAGTTGTAAAGGGATATTTGGTCCATGAGACAAGACCAGACCAGAGAGGGGGAAAAAAAAGAAAGAAATAACAGAGCCCTGAAATGGGTACAGTTTGGATGCCAAGCCTCTGCTCACCAGCAGGTTCACTCTACAGATCCACTCATACTGTCCTGCAGTAATGTAGGAAAAGCCTGAAAGACATGGCTAAAAAAGCTCTGAACTGTTAGTCGCTACTTTTTTAAGATGAGTGAGATACCAGAAGACTGAAAAAGGGCACATACAGTGTTTATCTTTTTTCTTTTCTTTTTTTTTTTTCCCTCCTCCCTTCTTAAGATGGGTATAAGATCCTGGGTTCTATTCAACACTTCCATTATTGAGGTGATGGACGAGAACCTGTGTTTATTAAATATACTGGCAATGCAAAATGGGGAAGGACACCGGATCCTTCTGAGAACAAGAATAAAAATCAGGATTGTCTGGATGTGTTGGAAAAAGTGTAAAAATAAGATGCAGTTCATTCTTGGCATATGTAGAATGGTGTATTCAGGGAGAGATAATAAACTGGTAAAAATCCATGGTGCAAGACAAGTGGATAGGAGGTGGTTGTAGGTGCACAGTGCATGAGAGATTGGAACAGATCGCTTCAGAAGGTGTCAGCCAGCACAACTGGAAGTCATCAGGAGGAGTTTGAGCAAACATCTGTGAAGGATATAAAGATATTTAGTCTGCCTTAAGGCATGTGGATGAACTAGATGATGCTTTGAGGTTGATTCCAATGCTATTATTATATGGTTTGTATAAAAAATTCTCTTAACTATTTTTATGTCACTAGTTTGTATTTTGTGGGAAAAAGTGTGATAGAAAAAGCTGGAATTATGAAATCAGTTAGAAAGACTAAAAGGAAGACACTGCACTGCTGTTTGAAAATTGAGTTTTCAGGAGCTTGTCATAAATGTAAGCCTATTGATTAATTAACTGTGGTTAATTACTCCAGAATATCTGTTCCTCCTTGGCTTGAAAATGCTTACATTCAGTAAGCTAAAAAATTAGGAACTGAGCTATAACTTTATTCACACGTGAAATTCATAAGTAGACTGATACATATGTATGAAACAACCTTGTTTAACAGCTTAGTTAACACTGATCCATGCTAACAATGGATAATGAAGTTTATAAAGAATGCGTAATACAAGATGCAATTTATCCTATGTAAAACATTGCTAGAAATTAGATGTAACTAATGTTGCTTTATGGCTTGAAATTACCAGGCCCTATATTTTCACTTGTTCACTGGAAGTGTTTTGCATGATGAAAAATGCTGCATGAAGGAGTTGTCACATCCAGAAAAGTTTTCCACCTAGCAGGGTTGGCCATCTAACTTTTGTCTTCACTGTGATATCAAAACGGCATCTCAAGATTTTGCTTTGTAGGGAATGAGATTACTGTTTCTTTATCTTTAAAATATCCCAGGAGATGAAATACCTTTTCTTGCATCTTGTGGTAGAATGTTTGCAGTTCGGAAATGAGTTGCTTTTCCTTCCCAATATTTCTATAAATTACAGATGCCCAGAAGGTATTTTAGTTACAAAAGGAGAAGTAATTCGTCTGATGTACAATCATATAGCATATGTCCTTAAGCAGCGTTTTGAAAAACGGCTAGCATCTGTATTAATCTTATGTTTTTCCCCAAATTCACATATCCATGTCTGCCTTTGTGCGTCTCTAATATTACTTTGTATGTTGGCCCAGAAAGATTGGGATTACAGGTATATAAAAATACCATGTGTCAAATTATGCTTTGCTTATTGGGTTTTACATAAGTGTCTGAAAACTTTGTAATTATTTTGAGCCACTAATATAAAGCTTTTACCTTGAAAACAAATTAAGGCTGTTTTTCAGTGTCTCTCTAAGCTGAATTGGATGTGCTCACAAAAATGCTCAGTTCTTGAATTGAGATGGGTGGTAGCTACTTGCAGAGGGGTTAATGTTATAATAAATTTTACAAACTCAGTTTCTCTCTGGCCTGCACATGAGAAAAAATTTAATATGACTGTAGGTTTTGGGTTAGGTGAGAAGAACAAAAGTCAGCCTTTTGGCCAAAGGCAAGCGTCAGTTAACCTCCCGTACAAGACTACCTGTTGTTCGTTCTTAGCAGAACCAGATGTCCGGGTCAACGATTGCATTTGGTTGTTACAGAAGACCCCTGGTCGTTCATTTGTTCTCTCCCTTTCCTTCTCTCTTTCTGTCCCTTTCCCCTGCTCCCTATTTCTTTTCTTGGTGTTTTTTTTTTTTGTGTTGTTGTTTAGAATCTTTTACTAAATATACTGATTTTGTGTACGGATTTGTTGTTGTTATCTTTGAGTAATTTTGTGATTACATGTAGCGCCATGTATTTTGATACATCTTGTTTGGGCATAAAATGTAAAAGCGGTATCTGTAGGATAGAAATAGAAATGATAACAAGTGTGTTAATCTGGTGACATAAAGTTTTGGCATTTTTTCTTTATAGTCCTTTAACACGTTGCACATGATGTACCACGAGGCTACAGCTTGCCATGTGACTGGAGACCTGGTAGAACTTCTGTCTATTTTCCTTTCGGTTCTGAAGTCAACACGGCCATATCTTCAAAGAAAAGGTTTGATTATAACCCTTCAAAGGATTATACCTGTTGTCTGTTAATTAGTTTTCATGACCCAAAAACCTAGTATTTTATCTTGCTTGTTATCTGTGTTTAAAAATTTCCCATACAGTAGGAGACATGATTATTAACAGTTATTAAATTGTTACTTACTGAATTATTTATTGACATGATATGAAACTAGATTAAATAAATTTAATAGCAGTAGACCAGTGAGATTTAACAGATTTCTAGATTGGTTAGAATCATGCTAGAGGAAAAAGAGATTTTTCGGCAGTAAAATTCTATGATTTATTTAATGAACTTTTGAGAAATTAACTAAACAGATTTGTATGGGTTTTGCATTTGCAGATGTGAAGCAAGCTCTCATTCAGTGGCAGGAGCGAATTGAATTTGCCCATAAGCTCTTAACTCTGCTAAATTCCTACAGTCCTCCAGAACTTAGAAACGCTTGCATTGGTAAGTCATAGTAGTGTAACTGCAGTCAGGAAGGACCTGTTCGACGCAGTTACCTGCTTTGAAATTTAAATTCCGTTTTTGCAAGCGCTTACTAGGTACTCTGTAGATTGAGATTGTTTATATTAATATTGCCATTTACATCAATATTGCCATTGTTCCTATTCTAAATAGTTCTGATTTTGTCAGGTTAAAATTAGTGTTCCTACTTCCCCAGGCATGCAGACTGTCTGCACAAAAAGTCAGCCTTCATTTTGAGAGCCCAGTCAGTTTGCTGCCTGATAAGGGGGGTGATTAAGGAATAACTCCTGAATTCAGGTGTCAGTGAGTTAGAATCAAATCCCAAATGGTACGTTACAATTCAAGTATTAACAAGCACTCCACTCAGAAGGGTGCACGGTGGTGACCAGGTTAGTCTGAATAACAGCTTTTTGTGTTCGTTTTTATTGTCCGTTACTGGAAGGCATAGTAATAAAAGTAAAGCTTAAATAGCTTGTAGAATGGAATGGATTTGCTTTTTTAAATTGTAGACATAGACATTATATAGAAGTGTCTCTTTTACATTAGATGACCTATTTCAAAAAGCTCTAGTTTTTCTGTAGTTCAGGCCTTTTAAATCGTATTTAATGGATATAACCTGCATTTTTATGCATGCCCATGAAGGCCTAAAACTGTGTCCAAATTACCTTTTTTTTTGTGTGATTTGTGTGCCTTTTCCCCTTATTTGGAGTGCCTTTGTCATTGTCCTCCTGACTGCTGCTGGTTGACATTTTCCAGGCATCAAACCTGACATGTTTAAGAAGAAGGAAAAAGGGTAATTTTATTGAGCTTCCACTTTCTACAAGCTGGCACCCCTCTCACTGGTGGTCGATCTACCACTGGGCAGGTTTTCTCCCAGTGGCAGAGGTGAAGGGAATCTTGACTGATTCAGAGGTGTTCCCTTTACGTGGTATTCACAGTAGAGCCTGCCTCCGCTTGCAGCAAGAGTGATGTGAAAGAGAGTTTGCAAATGCATGAGCCTTAAGTTAAACTGTTTGCTGTTAAGAAATAACAATATGTAATAGCAAAAACAACTTTTTGTTTGTAGATGTCCTCAAGGAGCTTGTACTTTTAAGTCCTCATGATTTCCTACATACTCTGGTTCCATTTCTACAGCACAATCATTGTACATACCACCACAGTAATATCCCAAGTAGGTATTTCAGTGATTGTATTTTGAAGTTCTCTTACGCTATTATTACTCTGTCGTGTTCCTTGCTGATGTCAAATATTGATCTTTCTAATATATCCCTATTTTACCCTGACTTATACTACAGTGTCTCTTGGACCTTATTTTCCGTGTCGTGAAAATTTGAAATTGATAGGGGGGAAAAGCAACATTCGTCCCCCACGTCCTGAACTTAATATGTGCCTCTTGCCTACAATGGTGGAAGCCAGCAAGGTATGTAAACCTATGGTCTTATAAATAGCTATTTCTCGATGGTTTTCCCATTTTTATAGAAGTGTTATAAGAATCCAGTAGCATAACGCATTTACGTTTTCTTTGTAAACAAAGCATAATTCTTCTTCAAGATGTGTTGTCCTCATATACTCCATTCTAGATGTGCACTCCAGAAGCACCATTTCCCTGCCCTTGGTGATAGACAGCTTCATATTCCAGACATGATAAGGGTTTGAACCTTGTATTTGGAAAAAAACCCGTAGCACACGTTTTGATAATCTTCCAGTCTGTTCGTGGCATTTATAAAGAAAAGTCAGGAACCGCCCAGGGATTGTCCAGATGGGTTTCAAACTATGTTAAGCTTTATTACTAGAGAGCCGAGTAGATCCTCCAGGTTTCACTAGAGTCCATTCAACCGGGACTGAGGCATCATCTGCTATTTGTTTGGGTAAAATACCAGCACCTGAAACATCGTATAGGGCTCTAAGTCTTTCACTTTCCATTTGCCCTTCTGTGGGCATCCTGATGGGATGCCAACTTCGGTGGGGCTACTTCGTAGTCGCTTGCCACGTCCCGTTATTACAGTTGCAGCAACGGTGGGATTCAGCTCACGCAACTTTGCCTATCTAAAAGGTCAGCGTCCAGCTCTTTTTGTGGTTAACGGCGATAAATCGTTACCCTCAGGAGGAGAGCAATAGTTACCCTCTGTCCTGTCCTAGACTCCTGAGTCTGGATGAGGTGACTCTTCCTCTGGCGGAGTCCGTCTCTCTCTCTCTCTCTCTCCATTGCCTGCAGGGAATACTGAAATGACTAGATTTTAGATAGCTAAAGTCGGGTAAGGTGAATCCCACCCTAAAAGGAATATGTATGGACAATCATTTGAAGAAGGAAAACTGGTTACTTGCTGTACGGTAACTGTGGTTCTTCAAGATGCTTTGTCCACACAGATTCTGTGCTCCTCCTCCTGTGCTAACTCCGAGCCCTGTCATAGGGGATTCTTACGGTGAAGGAATTGAGTGGTGGTTGAAGCCGCCATACCCCTTATGCCCTCAGGTACAGTGGTCGCAAGGACACACTGGGTGCAGGCACAGCCCCAGTGGACACTGCTATTCAGAAAGAATCCAATCTCCTGCACATGGGGCCTATGTGCACGTAGATGGGAATCTGTGTGGGCAACACATTTCGAAGAAGCACGGTTACTGTAGGGTAAGTAACCCTTCTTTTTTAAAGCTTTCAAAATGATGCTGTGTATACTTGTGCACCATCAAATTTACTGTATAACCAAAGTTTTTAAAAAGCTCATAGAGCCAGAAATTATCTGTGGTGGGTTTTTCCATCATGTATCCAGAGGTAATGGATGTGACTCTAAATAATGTAAATATTTGAACTTACACAGTTGTCATATTAGATGACGTGGTATTTTACACTTTATAATGAATTCATATGCATTAGGAACCAGAAGAGTTTTAAGCCTCTAAACCCTCATCCAGTTACGTTTCCCTGTTTTTGCATGGTTATTTTTCATTCGTTTTGTACGAGATCGCATTTGTTTGCTTGCATTTTTGAGATTTCCTTTTGGCTATCTGGTCTGCAGAAGCTGATGCCATTTTAAGGGTATACATCCAAAATACAGTAAAATATTGGCATGCAAACCCCATGGCATACATTTATCGTTTGGTTTGAGACATTCCTGAAAATACTGCTTTGAAAGCTCCTGAAGCTCGGTCTTGAGAAAGTTCTGACTTCTACAGATCGTAACTGACAAATTACAATTTAAAAAGCCATAGTGTGTACATATTTAGATATCTGTATATGATTTAAAATTACTGCGTTCTTTTCTTGTCATCTTCGAGATGTGGTATTCGCACCACCTTGCATCTTCTCAGCCTGTTGATTCAGAATCCTACAATAAAAGTTTTTACTGGTGCGGGAATTGCGTTTGCCGTCCCTCATCCGATCTCACTGTTGTGCTTGCCAAGGGCTCGGTGAGGAGACGCAGCTGGCCTGGCTTAGACACGGAAATTCCCATCGTGTTTTCCTGTAGTACATGATTAAACGTTTTAGGGCAAGAAGCACAGTAACATTAAGGTAGATGCTTAGGAAATCTGGTTGCTGTCCAGTTGCTTATGTAGTTTAAATGAAGCTCTCTTAAATCTTCAGGGCAAAGATGATGTTTACGATCGTATGCTGCTAGACTACTTCTTTTCTTACCATCAGTTCATCCATCTACTATGTCGAGTTGCAATCAACTGTGAAAAGTTTACTGAAACTTTAGTTAAAATGAGTAAGTATGAAGGTTAAACAGCCTAAGGATTTTTTTTTTTAATTTTTTTTTTTTCTGTGATAACTCTTAAGTGATTCTCCGCTAAGTTTTATATTCAAAATTTTTAAGAAAAAGCAGAGGTTCTGGAACTTGCTGCATTAATTGTTCTGGACATTATTTTTATCCATAGAGTGTCAGACGTGTATAATGTAGTGCAGTCTTACCTATGTGACTGTCACACTTCAGGCCTGTCCAGAAAGGAGCTGAGACAGGCAGTGAGAACTCGGTTTCCTTGCACGTTTGGAGTTCAGTACGGAACTCACTGAAGCTGAGGGCTTTTTTTTGGTTTGGCAGTTTTAAATGACTTCGGAGCAGACCCTGAAGCCTCAGCATCTCTGGCAATGGCATTAGTTGGCAATCTGCTCGGGAGCAGACGTGGCCATCGAGAGAGCCACAGACGGCCCTGGTGCTGTTGTTACCAACCCGGGTTTGTTTTGCTCCATAGTTTTGGGAACCATCCCAACATTTAACTGAGTTTATAATCATTCACTCATGTAGTTTGTACCCAATACTTGTTTCAGCTCTCTCAGTAGATACCACCAGTATTTGGGTTTCTTCCTGTCACAACGTAAACTTATTTTGTTGGTGTGTGAACAAGGCATTTGTGGCACTATCTGTCTGACTACTCCAGCCGTTCAGCTGGGTCTTGGCAGGAAATCCCGCCTTGAATTGCCCCACCAAGTCCATGTGCTACTCCAAAGGCACATTGTGGGTTTTTGGGTTTTTTCCATTTTGTTTTCCACCACAGCCCCTAGGATGAGCCGAGTTCCCCAGCGTGGTGGGTGCAGATGCACAGACCTCAGTGTCACACAAGTAGTTATTACATGGACGCACAGACTGGCAGCCATCTCGCTTCAGTTCTCTAAAAATCAGACATAGAGCTGATTGTCCTCTCTAGTCAGTGGAGAAGAGAAATTGATCTTCTGATTCTTAAATATCTTAAGCGGAATGAACCACCTTCTGAAAATACCCGCTTGTTCTCTTGCTTTCTCTGCCTGTAGAAGCTGGCTATGATTAAATACTACTTCTAGAGAAATAAAACTACAAAATTAATCTTGTCCAGAGCGCAGTGGTAGCAGAATGTTCTTTTGATCCCCCGAATCGCCCATCTGCTCGTTGTTTGTCACGCTGTTGTAACTCTAGCATTGTTAATATTTACTATAGATTGTGTTAACTACAAAGTGTACTGGGAATGTGTATTGTTTGCTGTTGTTCAGCATATCCCTTAACTCTTTCACGGTTGAGGTAACAAGGGTGCTTGGGTTAATAGTGAAGATTACCCTTTAAAAATTATATGCTGTTTTTAAAAACAGATATCTAAAAGCTTTAAGTGCTGTAGCTGACCAGTTGAAAATTAAGACAGTAATAAAGTAACGTGGTTACAAACCCAGAACTAAAGGGAGCTCTTTAGGTTTTTTGCATTTCACAGAAATACTGAAGGGATACATGTATTTATTAAATGCACTGTAAAAACTTCACAGACGATAGGTCTTTCTGATTATGAAAAATGCTCAGAATGTGGTCTTCTAAAATGATATGGCACCTTGGCACTACTTTTATCAGGAAGTGAGCATCTCCAACAAAATTCTCACACAATAACTTATTTTCTCCTGAAATTTCAGGTGTCCTAGTTGCATATGAAGGTTTGCCACTTCATCTTGCGCTATTCCCCAAACTTTGGACTGAGCTTTGTCAGACTCAGGTAAGAGTCAGTGAGGCTGGGAACCAACAGAATGGAAATACAGACAAAATACAATGGATGTGAAACAGATTAACCTGTAAATTTTAGCTAGTGGGTATTGTTTAATCATTCAAACACGAGCATTTGAAGAGGAAATACTTGTGCTTATGTTGCCTGTCATCTGATAAAACCTGATAAATCGAGTATAAAAACCTGGCAAATTGTATTTGCTCCCAGTATGCCCTGGGTCCTTGCAAAAACTTGGGCAGCAACTTCGCACAGTACATATCGGCGGGGTGGCAGTCCGTGCGGTGTACAAAAACTACTCCATCCTGCCTCTCTGAATTTCCAGCTTGTTCGGTAGCGTAGACACTGGTATGATGAAATAAAAAATGGGAGATCTCTAAGTCT